AAAAATTTAAATATTAAAAAAATTAGTAAAAATCTTCACAGGCAAATTTGCCTGTGTTACAATTTAAGGGATAGCCTAAAATATTAGAAAACAATAAAGCTACAAAAACACATGGATGTTTAAATGACTTACAACAAAAAAAAATTTGTGAATATGCCTAGTAAAATCCAAACGCCAAGCACCATAAAATTGCTCAAGAATTTATGAAAAGATATTTAGGTCTAAAGTTAGACCATTCTACTATATCAAAGGTTTTAAAAAACTGTGAACAATACAAAAATATAAATGATAAAAGTTTATATGAAAACCAGTTTCGTCATAAGTCTGTTAAATTTCCAAGACTTGAACTTGCTATGAGAACTTGGATGCAGCAAATAGTTGCTGCAAATATGCTTTTAAATAGCCACTTATTAAAAAAAAAAGAATTGAGTTTGCATATGCACTTGATATTAAGAAAGAGGATTTATCATTTTCATCTAGTTGGATTACAAAATTTAAAAAAAGAAATCAACTTTGTTATATTACAACCCATAGAGAATCTGAAAGTGCACTGCTTGAATCTTTACTAGAGTTTTGGTTACAACTACAAGAAGTTACATCTCGCTATCACCCTAATGATATTTATAATATAGACGAAACTGGCCTATTTTTTCGTATGCTTCCTAGCCAAACACTCTCTAATAGATGTCAATATGAAAAAAAATTAGTAAAGTCACAGTATTATTATACTGTAATTAATTTATAATAATTTTTAATTTTTTTAATAAAACAAAGCACAAGTTATGGTATTACTTGCAGCAAACTCTACTAGAACATATAAACTTTGTCCACTTGTTATTAGGCAATCTGCAAAACCTCGGTGTTTTAAAAATATTAATATTTCTCAACTTCCAGTGATTTATCATTCTAATAAGAAGGCATGGATGAGATCTAATATATGGGAAAACTGGTTACGCTATATTGATAGTATTTTTTGAAGTCAAAAGTGAAAGATTTTGCTAATTGTTGACAATACGCCTTTACACACTTCTTTAAACTTTATAAACTCAGAAGGAGTTTCAAGCACTAATACTTTAACTAATATAACTATACATTATTTGCTACCAAACACAACATCTCATATGCATTCAATGGACATAGGTATAACCAAAAGCTTTAAATCGAAATATAAGCAACATTATTTTCAGCACATTTTAAAGTTGTTTGAAAGTCAATATAATTTAGAAAAAAAAGTTTACTTACTTATTATTTTTTTCTTTTTATGTTTTTTTATAATTTATTAACTTATTGTATTTATTAAATTATAAAAATAAATTGAATATCAAACAAACTATTGATTTTATTGCACATTCCTAGAATGAAGTGAGTGATAATATGATCAAAAACTGTTGGAATTCTATTGGTATACTTTCAGATATAACTAATAGTAATGAATCAGAGCCAGATCAATTTTTTATGGATACTGATGATGATAATTACGAGACTATTGATTTTACTAATGACGGGTTTTTTTAAAAAAATAAATTTTTAACAGAGACCCAATAGTAGCTGAACTTGCAAAAGATCTTGAATTATATTACAAAATTGTTAATGAATCTCCTGCAACAAAAAAATGTAATGAATGATGAAGAAATTCTGGCAATGGTTCATAGAACATTTGATCCCGAGTCTGCAGCAACAGATTCTGAAGAAGATGAAGTACCTTTGGCACCTCCAGTAAATTTATCAGTAGCAATAAATGCGCTGCAACTTCTTATTCAATTTCAAGAACAAAGAAAAAGTGATGATGGGTTTAAATCTGAAGAGTTAAATATGTTGTATAAAAAATTGTATCATTTCGAAAAATTGAAAAAAAGCAAACCAATCTTTTTCACTATTTTAATAATGGCTCTGAAAATTTATTTGAGGTAGGCTTTATTTGAATTATTATATAGTAAATAATACTATTTATTAAATTATAATAACTGTCACAGATTAAAATGAAATCAGATTAAAATAAAACAGGTGACCTTTTTCATTTTCTTTTAAAGCTTATAAAACCCACTTATACTCTTTTTTTAATAAACCTAACACTAAACTCTAACCCTAACCTTAATCCTAACCCTAAAAAATATCCCCCAAAATTTTTTAAATTGTCCTTAAAAAATATTAAAATTTCATTTTAATTTGATTTCATTTTAATCTGTCACAATAACTAAAATTTTATTTAGTAATCTTGGTATTTATAAAAAATAATAAGTACAGTATCTCGAATATCAGTAAAATCAAGGGGTGTATCAGTAAAATCAGAAGAAATAATATGAAATCTGTATTTAAGTTATAGACGAAAGTAATAATCTAAAACTACATATTAAGTCTAGTTATTTAAATTAAAGGCCTGACATAAATATAGAAAGCTTTTGATAGTTATAAATAAGAATTTGCTAAATAAAATTTAAAAAAAAAAAAAAAATTTGCTGAATAAAATTAAAAAAAATTGCTAAGTAAAATTAAAAAAGTAGCTTTGTACAAAGTTGTAATTTAAATTAAATAACGTATATATATAGTAATTCACCATTTTATATAAACAGATATTATCATTGTAGTTAATTTTATTGATTTTAAGTTGATGTAAATTAATAAATTTATTAAAATAATAAAATTTTGCTGTAAGTTATGATTCAAATATGAATTTATATCATTACACACTTATTAATGTGAGGTGTTAATTGTTACAAGAATGGATATCTAAGTTAAAATATGTGCTGATTAATATCTCGCATTAATGAGAACCGGTCTTGATTTTAACCAATAATACTATTTATCCGGTAAACACATATGATCAGGAAAAAGTTTCTTTGTTATTCCTTTATATGTTACGATGTAATTATAGTATGTTTATTCCAATATAAAACTCATTGAGCAACTCCCTATCAATCATGATTATAAATTGCTGGATAACCATTATTGGGCAAATTTGGCAAATGATTGGCTATATGTGCTGCTTTGTAGCATGTACTCATTTGCCAAATTACCATTATTCATCCAATAATGTATATTAACAAATTTTATTATTCTAGCATATTTTTTATATAATTACCATAGTTTATTTTTTATATATAAGTGATTATATAGAAAAGTTTGTATATGGTTATATCTCTATATAGTCACCAGATTTCTGGGTCCCGAAGGTGTGACTATATAGAAGTGCAACTATATATAGAGATTATATTGAAATTTTGGTTAAAACCAATACCTTTTTATGAAAATATTATATTTGAAAACCAGTTATTGCTCAAAAGATTATATTTGAAACCGGATAATAGTTTAAATTGCTATATTTCAAAAATAGATAAAAATATTAAAGTTATGTAAGGTTACATTTAAAAATTGGTTAAAAAAATTAGATATTAAAGTAATATCTATATAAAGCATTTACACGTAAATCAGATTTTAAACAATTTTAAAACAGTTTAAGCAATATCTACAAAAAAAATTACATGTAAATCAAGTTTTTAAGTTCTAAAATTACTTTTAAAAAGGTTAAATATACAAGGAACCGATTATTAAAGAACCAAATAGTAATACATATATCTGATTGTGGCTTTGCAAGTGTGGAAAGATAATCAAACTTAAATGTGCTTATGACAAGTTTTATTTTGAAAGTTATGTCAATGGTGATGGTTGCAAATTTAAAAAAGGTGTCGTCTTAATTTTAAACTTTTTTTCACCAAGTTTAAAAGAAGATAATCGATCTATAAAGCAATATCCATATAATGGATTAGACAATCTGATTTATAAAGCTTATATTAATAGAGTATTACTCACGGTGGTGCACCAAGAAGAGATATCGTTGCCTGAGAACTTTTTTCAAAAAAATTTTCTTCAAATAAGACATGAAATATAAGGAACTTACTGAAGAAGAATTGCAATTATTAGATAATAAAATGATTCAACAATTTAAATGAAAAATTGAAAGTTTAGCAGTACGATCTGTTTCATATAAACAATATAATATTAATTCTTCTAAATTGTGCGATCATTGTAAAGAAATTCAAAATAATCAGGTTTTTAAAGTATATATAATTATAATTATAAATTAATTTATAATATATATAATTATAAATAGAATGCTATGTCAAAACAAGACAAGTGGGTTAGGGTCCTGTAGCCTAGTGGTCTAGATGCCTAACCCTCCACAAACGAGGTTAATGGTTCAATTACAGCTAGTGGTAATTAATTTAATTAATTATCTTTGTAACTTTTGGGGCTTTTGAATGTAAAACCCTGTGGCAGTAAGACTATGTGAAATACATATTTGGCCTATAAAGAATTCTTGGAAGGAGTTCCGAGCTATGGAGAAAATCAGGCACTGCATGTGACATGGATCACAGAAAGTAATACTGCAGAAGGCTGTACGTATGAATCTATGATTGGCAAGGTAGCACCAACAACTCTAAGGTGGTATTGGGATCTTGATTGGAAGGATAGCTAAATGCGGTATATCAAGAAGTGGTGAGAGAAGCAGTGAATATAGTAAGGGGCTGTAGTAAGAGAATAGCTTTACCAAATTTAAAACACCCCTGGTACAATGAAACAAAGAAAACTGGCTAAAAGAAACCCCAAAAAGCATGGAAGCAAGCACTCCGGTAGTATAAAAATAAAGCTGGCTAGTGAGTAATATGTCGCACAACCTATATAGAAGTCGTGGAAGTATGACGAAACATGGCAGAAGCACGGGTCCTGGGTTACTAGCTTGTGACAGTAATTAAATGAGGTACTCAACTCCCGTCCTAAGGATCTAGACTTCTGTAATACTATACTGATAGGGAGTACTATAAAAGAAGCAGTAGCCTAATTTGGTAGTGTACGATGTGAATACCTGAAACTATACGAACAGCTCTCCTAATAGCGACAGCAGGTAGCTTGAGATATGGGTCTTTAGATAGCAGCAGCACCTGGCTTGAGATACAGATTAGAAACTGAAGTAACATCTCAAGAGACACCAAACTAGAAGCAAGAAGAGTGCCACTTCTAGGACACCAATTTGGAACATCAGCAAAAAAAATAGACCGATATATATTGATTACTACCCGGGTAATTATATATCGATACCAATCACCCCTGCCAATTACACACGATCGTGATAGTAATCGATATATAGCGAATTCGTTTACTAG